GCATATCTTGCACGAAGATTCATTAGCTTACATGTTCTCCGCTGCAAAGGTTTCTCACAGTCTCGAGAGATGTAAGTAAAAGAAAAGAAAAGTATGATCGTAGTTAGAAGAAAACAACGTGGAAGCGCACCTTTAGTCATCTCTTCATCCAGTTTCTTGTTTTGGAAAACATAGCAATGATAAATATGAATACAATGTGATACAGATCAAAAACACATCTTGGTAACTGCCTTTATGGAACATATAATTGAGCTGATAGCAAAGTTGGTCTTCATAATACAGGACCATGGATGAGGGATACTTTGTTTTCGTTTTGGCTATAATGGGAAGTTATGTTGATGAAGAAAATTATGATCCTCAATATTTATTATTGTAATGTAGGCAGCATACCTTCGTTGCTTAATAATGTACACGAAAATTTCATTAGTTTTAGATTAAAAGAGGAAACACTGAGGACCTCTTGAAGCAACACCGTATCCACTGGTTAGTGACACTGGCGTTCTTATGCAATTGTAAAACTCATGTCTACCAAAAGTGAAAAGGTAAAGAAGAAGTTACATAAAATTGTAGCTTACCTTCTTTTATTAATTTTATTTATTTATTTATTTTTTCACTTTACATACGTAACACTTTGCAGGATGCTTTTACAACATTTAGCTGGGCACTCATACACTCTTATAACCAACTAGGAATTGAAATGAAATGAATAGGTTGGTATCCGTTGATGTAGTACGTTTTTTTCTCTTAATTGGATGCAGACATTGAGGGAGGCACTCCATCTATTTCTCAATAAAGTACAATCTACAACCCGTCTTGACTTCATGGAAATGGCAATGCTTCTACAGTACAATACAATTCTATCTATTATCATTAATTCCAATTGATTTTGGCAAGCGTTGCAATAATCCATCCAGCTTATTACAACCAATTTATTCTTCTTCCCTCCCCCCTCCCCCTCAGACCGTCACTTCAGAAGCATGGGTCTTGTGAGGTTACCATTCTTTCCTTTGTAGAGAAATTAATAAACACAACACATACGCATACACATACACATACACATACACACGCACGTATATTAAAATTGTTTAAAGCATCACCTACATATCTGTTTGGCGTAGATACTTAGGGTAGGTCTACGGTTTACATTTTTATTTACTTTCTTACTATTAGTATCAATCAATTTGGCAACATTATCGTATCAAGACTACTTTATCCTTGGCTTTCCCTTATTTTTTCATCGAAAAACCATTATCGTCTCTAATAATACTACTACAGACAGAACAAGAGATTATAACACATTGACGGAATGTTTTCATCATGTTATTAAAATGAGGTGTCTCCTCATGAAGTATCGGACACCATTCCATCTTTGGTTAACATAAGTTTTATACTCTTTTGAACTTCTTTTATACAATAATTAAATAAATAAATAATCAAATTACCGACATAATGACTTTTGTACAAATATATCGTGTACTAAAATAGAATATAAATGTTTTGTTCACTACTAGTTTCATCACTACTACATATGGGGAAAAACCTAACAGTTGCAACTTTGAATACCCAATTATCTTAGAGTTCAATGGGAGAATAAACTCTAGAGTTTTTTAATTTCTACTTTCTGATTTCTACTTTTTCTTATTATGATGATTTCTCGAGGTTTTACCTGATTCCATATCTACCTTGTGCTTGTATTACTTAATATCAATTGTTTTAGTAATCGCAATTGCGATTGCGATTGTAATTGTTATTACAATCAAGCATTGCGTATGTGTTTAACACGGTTGTTGCAGTTGATGCTGATGTTGCTGCTTTGTTTCTTTCTTTCTTTTTACTTGTTATTTTATTACTTTTCCTAATTTAAACTTTCTTAAACCATTTTTAAAAAAGGTATTGATATCTTTAGGACAAGAATATTCTACATGTTTATCAGCAGTTATTGCTACTTTGACTTCACCTTGTAGTAACGGAAGTAGAAAATATACACTTCTTGTAAAAGAGAAGAGTTATATTAGGTTTTTTTTTTTAAAAAGAAAATTTTTTATTCAGTATTATTTCCATCTAATTTTATTTTGAGGACATAAATTAAGAATTATATAAATATGTCTACCTCATACCTCAAAATGATTAGAAGGTTCAATACTTTTCTTAATAATCCTTTAAATTTCTTCCTGAATAGTTTTCTCTTCTCTCTGGCTTTTAACTAATACCCGTAGAACCTCAAAACATTTAATGACTCGTAGTATTTAAGTCACATATTTAAATATAAAAAAATTTATAAAAAAATAATATGTCACGTAACGATACTATACAGATAGGCGAGCATAATCATATAAAAGAATACGGTTTAGTTTATAACCAAAGTGAACCTTTTGAATATTATTATCAAGATGGGGATTTTGAATTTGATGACATTTTATCAATTTTAGATGAAGAAAAAACCGATTCTGATAACCCATCATTAAACGATGATTTAAATTTTTTTTCTCACACTCAACAACCAAATTCAAAGAACTTTATGATACACAAGGATGAAAAATTATATAGATACAACTATGATACAGAACTTTTAATACAACCAAAAATTTCTTCACCTTTTGAAGATGCAAAAATTTTTAAATCTTTTAAAGATACGAATGACTATAGTACAGATCCTTCAGTTTATTCACACGACGAGGCCGATGCCTACACTGACATGCTTTCAGTCATGTTTAAATCATCCGCCAAATCGAATTTTTTAACTTCAAATGCAATGATAAGGGCAAAATCAAATTCAACATTAATTAATCCATTCCATGATATGTTTGAAAATGTCCATATCGATCCGTTAAATGATATCGGACTGGGGAAAAGAAATATAGATATCGACAATTCCCCAGATTCTCAAACTCCAAATTTAACTCCAACTTCAGCATACTCTAACGATAATAGAGAAATTATATTTGACAGCGACCCTGCAAATTATTTAAATACAGACTTCGGATTAGTACCAGATACCACAACGTGCTCTCCTTCTCCTGCATCATCAACATCATCTCCCATCTCAAAGGTACATCATCAAGTCAAAAGAATGTCCCATCAAAACACGTCATCTTTAGCATATCAACAAATGAAATATTCTTGTGACGTCTGTGGTAAAAAATTTAAGAGACCTTCTTCATTGAATACTCATACAAATATACATACAGGAAATAAGCCTTACAGTTGCCCTGCTGCTAAATGTAAGAAAGCCTTCAATGCTAAATCCAATATGTTGAGACATTACAAATTGCACTTCAGAATAAGTAACGGTGCATATTTATTACCAAATGGCGAAATGACAACAAAAAAGCCAACTTCAAAACAATTATTCCCATTATTAGTTGAACATAACATTGTAGAATAATGAACGACCAGAACAATATTCCTGGTTAAAGAAAAACTTTATTTTATATATCACAGTATAGATAATTATTTATATTTAATTAATAGATTGCATTTAAACAAATAATTTTAATGAAACGTTTTTTTTAATACCTTAAGAGAAAAATAAATGAATAAATGAATAAATAAATAATTCATATATAATATAGATATATATAATATCATACAAGATTTTTAAAGGTGTTTAATAAATGTAAATATATTTTTTATTGAATGCAAATTTTTTAAATGTGATTTTATGTAATTATATATTTAATCATATTTTTTATTTTATGAATGAATGATAGATGGATAGACATTTTTGAAAAATGCTAGACCCTCATATGTGATTAATGTTTTAAGTATATTTAAAACTGAAATTTTAGTTTTGAAATTAAGCTATCAATGCTTTCGAAGTTCAAATCATTTTGAGCAAATGATTGATGTCTTTCAGATTTAACATGCAAGTCTAAGCTGTCGTATTTGACTCGACAATTTTCACAGTAACCAGAATTTCTTACAACCGGTTTTTCTATTTCCTTTTTGGTACCAGCTTCTTTGTCTAGATTGACATTAACCCCTTTATTGGTATTCTTTATGTCTTTGTCTTTGTCTTTATTATCGTTATCGGTCGTAGTATTGGTCGAATTTATTCTACTCGCATTACTTTGAGATTGCTCTTTTTCATCATTGTTAATTTTAGAAATTATTTTACTGGCAGAACTAGTTGTATTGGCTTTTGTTCCCAATCTTCTATCAACAACCATTCTATTTAATGATTTCAAATTTTTACTGAGCACACTGGCTTTAGTAGGCCCCAATCCATTTCCGAAAGAAGTAGCTACATCATTAGATTGATGAACACCACTTGCCTTTATTTCCTGAGCTACCCAATTCAAATTTTTGCTGTTACATAAATCATTAGGAAATTCTTCAGTTTCCTGTCTGATCATAGTACCCAGAAGTTGCTGGTGTGACAAAGATATGTTTGAAAGTGTCTTTTCCGGGACTTTTATTGGTTCTTTCCAACTAGTATTTTCATCTACCTTTGATAATTTTGTTTTTGGCACAGTTATTTCCGATACCTTGGCCTCGTTATTACTTAATGCTGTTTGATGACTATTCAATTTTTGCTGCCACTTTTCATAACAGTGCTTGGAATCTAAACATGTATGTGGGATTAAAAGAAATTCTGTTCTATCGGGAGAAGGCTCAGAGTGATATTGATATAATTGACGTAATCTTAATGCATAGCTTCTATTTGCTTTGTCGCGGTTGTATCTTTTAGCAACTCTTTTATAAGACGATTCATCGCAGGAACCATCTCCAATGAATGGACATCTACCAAATGTACCCATTTTCAGTACAGGATAAGGTAAATTATTTACATCCATCAATTCTTGTGGTTTCCACTCAAGTGTTATTACAGGAGCCCATGTTTGCCACAAATCATATAAATAGACAGAAGAGTATTTGAAATAGTGTATATCATCTCTTCTGGTTCTTGGATCTCTGTCAGATGGCCCATATAATTTTTCATTTTGCAATAGATTAGATAAAGTTGGTGTTGATAAAGAATTTAATTTTTCCTTTTCCAATTGATCCAAATCAACATTTAAATTTTTAAGAAACCTAGTGGACTTTTCGTAGTTCCAAACTTTCATATAACCTTTTTTAGCCCTTGATAAAACATCATTATCTTGAAGTGAACTAATTCTATCAACTGATCTTCTTGTGATAACAATTGTAACACTAGTATCAAAGAATTGAGTAATCTGTGCGCCCAAAGATATAAATCCACGTTTCAACAGTTCTTTCTTTTTATCTAACTTCAATCTAGCATGTTTACTAATATCAGTTTCATCTGTGGTATCAAAATATATCCTTGATTCTCTTCTCATAATTTTCTTCCAATTATTCTGCCATTCAAGTAATTCATTTGGTGTCACTTTAGCTTGATGATGATTTTGATTGTCTTGTTCTGCATTTTTCAACGATAATGCTTTGCTCACTTGAACAATAGCACCTTCAATAGATCTGCCTCTTTCAATCTTTGGTCTTTTCTTATCTTGAATTTGTTGCTGTTCCAGTTTTTCCAAAGATCTTTTCTTTAGCATTAAGTTACCAGTGTCTACACCAGAAACCTTAGTATTTGCCAAATTAGCGGAACCATCTGTATTGATACTCAATGAATTTCTTGGAACTCTGGAATTAGTATCTGCAGCTTTCAATGGCGACCTGGCGGTAATTTTTGCAGGAGATATCATAATGGCTTATTACCTCTATCTAAAATACTATTTTATAAATATGGCAAAAAATCAAAAATCAAAAATCAAAGATCAATAAATAAATAAATAAACAAGTGAATAGAGAATTAAAAAAGAGTACTAACAAAATGTTATTCCACTTTCTAAATATGCCAATTCCCAAGGTTCTTGTTTCCTGAACTTGCCCACTAATGTATTGAATGAATCTATATTATTTTTTTCCTCTGCCTATTTTTAAACCAACTCTAATAATATATTAGAGAAGAAGCAATAAAAATAAATAAATGAAAAGAAATAAGACAGACCCAAAGCTCGAATTATATCAACACTAAGCAAAAGAAGACAGTCCTTAGCGTGTTAAACTGCTGATGATCAAACCCAGTCTAGACCTTCCCAATGTCCTAAATCAAAAAGAATGAATATACAATTTTAAATAGGTTTAGCATATAGTATTATGTCAAAAGAATGAGAGAGATCCAAAACTGTTCCAATTTCAAAAAATCAGTTTTATTTCGCGTTCTTTTTTTATTTTTTGGTAATATTACATTGCTGCGTTACGTGTCTCATGACAGATCACATGACACCGGTCGATCACGTGGTTGTGTTTTCTCTTCGAAGCTGAGCAATAAAAAGGGGAAAAAAAGAAAAGAAAAGAAAAATGTCTGTATTTTGAAATTTGCAAAAAAGTATGCTTTGGCGGCTAATTTATTACATATGTGCAGCACATATATACATATTATATACATATTATATATATGCCAATAATTGGTCTATTCATCTAGCTATATAACTAGACTGCGATTAGAAATATACGGATATGGCCAATGCTGTTGTGGCAGACAGAATAGCTTATTTGAAGAGTTACTCTACTCTACTCGTCTCGTAGTATTTGAATAATTTACACATAAATATAATGATAACGAAGAACGAGAGGCCTTTGGTCACAATGAACAAAATCTGACTTTGACTTGTCTTGAAACACATATTCTCTCTCTGTATCATACACACACAGTACTGCGATATATATCTTACATGTTGTTATTGTTATCCTCTATAGGAAGAAAATATCTTTCAGCAAGAATATTTAACTCATCCTCACCAATCTGTCCTCTTCCCAATGAGGCTAACGATTCGAAGTTAACGAACTACAATGAACTGCATCCAATGAACAACGAAATGCAATCTTAAATAAATCTTGAAAGTGTATTATAATTATTATTATTGACTATCTTTTATGTTTTTTTTTCTTTTGAATAAAATATACAATAACAATCTAATTATCGATATTATTGTCTTTATTTATAAGGTATCATTAATAGAAACAGACTATGCAAACGAATGGTCACTGAATATTATTTCTCCAAAGTATAACCATATAATGATTTTAAAGATAATAAAATATTCTTCATTTTCATAACCAACAAACCATATGGATACTGTTTATCAGCAATGAACAATAACAATAAATCACTTTTAGGTATTTGAGCCACACATGCATGTAGTTCTTCAATTTCATAAGTGTATATCCGAGTTGATTGAGATTCATCAACATCTTGATCAGATTCCTTAGGGATCGTATATATATAACAACTATTTGTATTTTGTTCCTCAGGTGCTGTCTCATCTTCTGACCACTTGTCCCTGATCAATAGCCCCATCATCTTCAAATTATTCAATGCATGTGGATCTCCATTACCATTGGTACTATCCAACAATGTAGCAAATGATAACACACCTCCATTTGAACTAGATAACAAAACTGAAGATTGTAAATACAGCGAATTATATGAAATCGATGGAATGGAAACAGGTTCCAAAGTATGCGATAACACTTTCCTTATATTATCTGAATTTAACATAGCCATATTTATCCTCTTGACATCAACCAATGGCCGCTCTGTCCTAGTATGAATTCAACAGATAGACCCTTATTAAATGTAAAAAGTTTACATCTGTTTTTAATAAATATTCAATTTTCGAACTTTTAATTAAATTTTCCTTGTTTTTTCGAAAGTTTAAAAATGTCACCATAATGAAGGATATTCACATTTAACAATGGAATTGAAATGTAAGAGATGGATGAGTTCAAGTGATTAAATATCATACATGATCTAAGTTTAAGATGTCTGCTTTGCTTATTTTACTCTGATTTTTATATCAAATATATGAAATTACATAAACAAGCTATCTATAGAAAGTTAGACTAAAATATGTAACTGCATAAAAACTGTAATGACTGGAACATAAAAGTTGGGATGTGATGATGAAAGAAGTTAGATTCTTTGATGACTTCAAAATAATTATCTTTATATATATGATGTTTTTTTGGTGCTTTTTTTATGATTTTTTTTGTATTACTTTTTGGTTCTTCTGCTCTGCCTATTGAAATCGGAATTGGAATTGCTGCTTTATGAAATATTAAATAATGAGTACTGTTGCTATTAATTTATTTTCCTCATTCTTCTTTTAATTAAGTAACTACTAAATTTAAATTCTTGTAATATGACTTTCATTCTTTTAAAATTATATATGTAATTTTATTTTATTTTTTTATTTCCTGGTTATAACTTTTCACCCATATTTTCTTGTAGTTCTTCTTCTTCTTCTTCAATATCTGCATCAGGTTTTTTTGGTTGTTTTCTATCCATAACACTATCATTATCTATGCTTTCGTCATCTTCTTCAAAATCCTCTTCATATTCACCTTGATAATTATAAACATCATCGTCGTCATAAATCATAGAATTACTATCATTAATATTAGAACCGTAGTTATTATTTATATCATCTTCATCTTCATCCAGATCACTATCATACCAGAAATTATCTGCTATATCATTATTATGACTACTATTGACGGAATTATGGTGCTGGCTATTACCATCGGCAACATTCCCACCACCATTATTGTTATTATTATTACTGTACACATCATTTGATTCTTCTCCTTTATTGTATTTTGAGTTATGCTGGGCTGAAACGTATGCAGAATCCGAAGTTGGCATGATAAAACCTTGAGGAATATCTTGCTTTGATCTCTCCACCTCCATTTTAACTCTTTGCTTGTATTGCTCTGGATTCTTCCTATAATCTACAGCTGCATCTACATTTGCAGGGGATGATATATTTGGATCTTCCAATAACGAAACAATAGAGATCAAAACACTTTCGACAGTTTGTACAGGAGACCAAGTTTCAGCATCCAACTCATCAGTCATTGGGTCACCACTCTGATGTAGGATTGAAATACATAATCTACCGTCCCTATACACGTTTGGATGGTAAATAGCAGGGGTGAACCTAAACTGTGGTGGAGAGAATGGGAAATCGTCAGGAAACCTCATTTGAGCCTTGAAATAACCACCATGATAAATAGAGTCTTCGTTTAGTACCATAACACCAATATTCCAAACGAAAATATTGGAATCATCTTCTAAATTTATATGAAATGATGGTATAGCCTTCTTTGGATTAGTTAATTCTCTATATTGTCGTAATAGTAAACTTGCTGCTGTACTCTTACGATTGCTCATGGTTCCAATAATATATTATGTATAGATATCCTTTTAACACTGTTACAATAGTCCTCTTTTATAACAGTACTCTTTAATGGTAACAAAAAAATTTTTCTTTTATTTTCTCTTATTAAATATACAATACGGTATTGTAATTTTTTTGTATTATCTATCTCACTAGTTGTTCAAAACTCTAAAAAGTGTTACTGTTGGGAGAGTGGAAATAGAAAAAGAGAGATAGAGATAGAGAGAAAGTATATATTAAATGTAACCAAAACTTTAGATTAATAACGTTTTAAATAAAATTTATTTCAAATGAATAGTAACGTTGATCCAAAGAATGGAGAGAGGGTGATGAAGGTTTGGTATGAGAGGGTGTGTGAAACAGGTAAACCCGATGAAATAGACACTAACAGGGTGATACTTGATTTGAAAGGTCTTATTCAACAGATGTAGTAGTTTTAAACAAGGAAATATTAAAACGTAAATAAACACCAATCAATAATATGGAAAGTATGTATATAAGTAAGGTTAAAAATTAAATTAAATTAAATTAAATTAAACCAAACTAAACTAAATTAAACTAAAATAGAACACAAGTAAAAAAACATAAATACCTTGTTAGTAATTACTAAACAGAGTTTCTTATTATAAATTTTAATAATAATTTCAAAAACTAAAAAAAAAAAAAAAATTAGTTGGGTTGGGTTGGGTTAAGTTGGGATGCAATTTCTGAGTAATGTGGATGAGAGTGTGAGGTCCCTAACACAACTAACTAAAGGATAGACCAACAACAACTTGGCTAACGTAAGGTGAGAAGTAAAACTGTGAATGTAAACTATTAAACCTTGACTTAAGAGACTACTTTCTTGTCTTGTTCAAAGAAGAAAAAAATTCAAGAGGTAACGAGAGAAAGAAGAGAGAAGGGCAAGGAGAGGGAGAGAGAGAAGAATAAACCGATTAAAAAGGAAAGAATGGGACTATACAATTGATGGATGGCAACAACGACGACGACAACAACACATACTTACAAGATCAAATATATATATATATCCGATATTTAATAGAATAGTCAATAGAGTATATCCTCTCAATAGACTATATCCTCTCTATTCGTACATTTTCTTACTAATCCTTTTAATGTTCAACTCAACTGTTCTTGTCTAGTAAGAGCTATAAGTCAAACTACAAAGATAGTGATAATGATAACAATAGTGAGAACGGCGATAACAAGTATTTAGATTCCATACAGGCGACCAATAGTTGTTTTGTCTAACAAGCTGTTAGTTTCTTTGTAACAACACCTACATGTAATAGTATCAAAACATAGTTCTATATAGTGGCTAATGGGGGAGAACGAAAGGGAATATGTAGGCATCAGCCTTATTGTATTGTGTTGTATTGTGTTGTATTTTATGGATAAGTAAATGGTGAACATGCAATACGAAATATCTTGACTTGATGTTCACCATTTACTATCCATAATCCCTGATCCAACACCAATAAACTGCTAATAGTTCACATTTATAGATCAAGTTCTAAATATTGGTCTCTTCTAATTGACCTTCAAAATCTTGTTGTTATATAGACCAAATTTCATCAAGAAAATAGAAAAGACTAATAAAGAGTCCAAGGAAGAGGGGGGGGGAGGAATCATGTGTTAGTCGAACTTATTTGAGTTGGACCTAGACCTTGATAATACACCCAAACTGTTGACAAGAAACAAGAAATTACAAACCGTTTACCATGCCATGCATAAGTATGTTCAAAAGAAACCACGAATAAGGGTCTATGCATATATAACACAGGTTGTCAATAGCCATCTGGTTCAAGCTACAACTTCAACATAAATAATTTCACCTATCTATCGATTCATGGTAAAACAATAATACACTTAATGAAACTTCGCTAGATCAGGAAACTGATCATATTACTATTACCATTTCCATCTCCATCTCCATCTGCATTACCAAATTCTATTTTATGGATAACCCAACCACTTGATTGATTCATTTATAAAATAAAAAAAACTGTTTCGAACTGTGCCATCAAGATGGGAAAACAGGTGGGTAAAACAAGAAACTAGCAGAAGTAAGTGATAAAATAAATGATCAATTTAGGTTCAGTTCTTCGTGTAGCGTTAAGAAGGTGCTTCTTGAATAGATAAACATTGATTCAACAAGAAAAAGGAAACTGGAAACTGGAAACTGTAAACTGTAAACAGAAACATAGATATTCATTTAATTACTGCTTTCTTTTATTATAGTTGGTTAGTAAGTTACTTAAGTTGGAAAATGCATCGTTGTAGGTGAAAAAAAAATTTTCTTGTCTTGTCATCTTGTAGAAATTAAATGTGCAGCTGGTCTATAAGTATTTTATTTTTTCCTAGTTTCAAGTGCTAGCTTGGCCTGTTAGAAGATGGCTGGTTATGGGGGTTGCTGAAAGGTACCATTTAATGAATGGTATCAAACCCATAGGAACCCTTCTCTTCTTCCTCTGTTGCTCTTGTAATGTTGTCGATATTTTGGTCAAGAGCAATTCAGTGAACTGAACGGGTGAGGGAGGAGAAGCAACAGCAGCAGTATCACAAGTTGTCTTGATACTTTCAGCTGAACAAGAACAAAAATATATTAGCATAGGTTTTTTCAGTGAACTCTTTGTTCTACGAAGACAATTAACCATCTTCTGTCAAACAGTATTTATTGGTGATTTTTTTCGTCAGTTATGTGAGTGTGACCTCTTGCATACATGCTATTATACATACATATTAGTTAAGTAATTAGTGTAGCATTGGAACCTGAAAGGTATTTCTTTCATCATCTACTTGAATGTCTCCCGTCTTTGTCACATTGCTTAATCTCTTAAATGGCTGTATGCTTGCTTGCTCTTTATCTTTATTATCTTGCTGGGATAGTTCAGCATTAACTTGATCAACAGGGCTACTCTTGTGCTCTGGTATATAGTGAATTGAACGCATTTTATGCAAAGTCATCTTGCTAAATATTTCAACTCTTCTGCAAGAATCAATTGAATTTTTATTTTTGATGCTGCATTTTTTTCTTACACTCTCTGATCTGATCTAGTCTATCTCGGTATGAAGTTTTCGATTCCTTGTCAATATTCCTTTTTTGGTTATCGAATGCTGCTCCTTTGTCCAAGTTCTTACTGGAACTGGTGTGGAAGAATGTATCCCAATTTTAGAAGTATTTAGCAAGATTCGAAATCTGTGCTATGCAGTCTAGTTTAGTTTAGGTTAATTCAGCTTGGTTTAATATAATTTAACTTGACCAATTTTATGATGGCTTGCATGATTAATATCTGCTTGTTTTTGTTTTGAGTAGATAAATGATTGCAAAACAAAATAAAAACAAATGGCTTGCAAATGAATGTGTCTCATTTCGAATTAATATATTTCGGTCAAATATATAAACCCATCATTATTTGACACTATTACAACAATTATTATGTTCCATTCTTGTCTATTCAATTGTAACACTCCTAATAATAACAAACCATAATAATATATCAAGACAATTATTTATTATTAGTCTAGAAATTTACATTTAAATTATAATCAAACACTTCACGTTCAATAGAAATTATGCAATTGAGAAATAGCTTAGCCTCCGTCTTGGCTCTATCTCTACTAACATCAAATGCTTTAGGTGCTTCAACTACTTCAACTAGCAAGAACACTAGATCAACTTCTTCTGTTACTAAAACTTCGACTCAAACTTCTGCTTCTGCTTCTGCTAGTATCCCAGCTTCATGTACAATTGCTTCTGGTAAGGCTACTGCTACCGCCCAACTGAATTGGATAAATTTTCAGGTTGTGGAAACTTTGGTGGTGAACTGACTATCACGGGCCAATGGGTAATGCTGCTTTAACCAAGTTAAAAAATCCAAGGTTCTAATCAATAACAAGGCTCCCCAATGGACGGATTCCTGCTGACTCATACAAAAATACGGGGGATTAACTTGAACAATTACAAACTAAATTCGGCTTCTTTCGGTTCTTTGAAAAGGTAAATTCTAACAATTGGGTCACTTTGCCAGCCATCTCTAATTTCGTTTCTAACTTACAATCTGCCAACTCTATCATCGTATCTGATACTACTTTGGAATCTGTTAGTGGCTTTTCAAATTTGAAACTGTTAAAAACTTGAATATCAACAACAACAAAATGTTGACTTCAATCAAATCTACTTTGCAAACAGTTTCTGATAGTTTACAATTATCTTCTAATGGTGATGGTACTGTCGCTATCTTTGATGACTTGATCTGGGCTAACAACATTACCCTAAGAGACATTCAATCGGCTTCTTTTGCTTCTTTGGTCAACGTTAACTCCTCTTTAGGTTTCTTAAACAACAGTATCACTGCTCTAGATTTGAGTTTATTGAAGACTGTCGGTGCTTCTTTAAGTATTTCTGCCAACGATGAATTGACTTCTGTTAAATGCTCAAACTTAACCTCTGTTGGTGGTGCTTTAGTTATTGCTAACAACACCCAATTGAAGAAAATTGATGGTTTCTCTAGCGTCGCAACAATTGGTGGTGCTCTAGAAGTCTTGGGTACCTTTTCTATCTTGGATTTCGACTCCTTGAAGTCTGTTAAGGGTGGTGCTGACATTGAAACTACTGCTACTAACTTCTCATGTACTCCATTTGACAACTTACACGATAAGAACGCTATTCAAGGTGACATGTACATCTGTAAGCACCCAAGTTTATCTTCTTCTGTCTCCCAAACTTCAACTTCTGATTCAAGTTCTACCTCTACTGGCAGATCTTCTTCATTCACCACCTCAACTAGATCTTCTACCCAATCATCTTCTAAATCTGGTTCTACCGCTTCCATTGCTGTTTCTTCCAAATCTAGCGGTGATGCCATTGTTGTCTCTCCATTTACACCAGTTAACTTCCTAGGTTCTATTGCTGCTATTGCTCTAGCTTTACTATGAGAATAGCTGGCGATCAAAACCTTTTTTCTATCAGGATTTGTATTCTTCAATCATAGATTATATTGTTCATTCAGTATAATATACATCAATTCAGTCATTTGGTTTCTAAAATGGAGTTTTAACCATGTACATTACTTATTAGATATTTCGGAAATATTTTTTTAGTTATCTTTTTTTGCATTATAAATAATAGTTTTACACTAATATAAAATTTAAACATTATTCTTATTGTTTTATATATAATCATTTTCTTGAAACAATACTAATTATTGAACATGACTAATTATACTTAAATGATAATTAATCTGCTTTATATAGCGCGAAACAACACCATACAATGAGTTGTCTGAGCCAACATATTTTAATTGGGGGGTAAAACTTACCAAATCCAAGGTTCTCTTCCCTTGACCTTAATGAAAACAATCTTTAAATTCAAAATAATATGCTTATTATAATTTTATAATATACATGTATCAGTAATAATATAACAAATTTATCTATTTACCTAATTTATTTCTTACTAGCCCTTCTTAATTTCATCTTTTCAGCATAAGTTAGATTTCTACCTTCATCATCTGGAGCTTCAGTAGAGGCAGAAGGACCTTGGGCTTTTCTTTCAGCAGCTTGTTCAATCTCTCTTTGTCTACGAGCAATTTCGTCCAATTTAGCAGAACGAGCATCGTTTCCTCCAGTAAGGATAGATTTTGCGGCAGCTGCAGATGATGCCTTAGACTTTCTTTCAGCAGCTTCTTCCATTTCCTTTTGCTTACGAGCCGTTTCTTCTTGTTTCTTAGCGCGTTCTTCTCTTTCTTCAGCTTCAATCTCAGCCTTACGCTCAGCAACTAATTCTTCATAACGTTGCTTACGAACTTCTTCAATTCTAGCTTTCTTGGCTGCTTCAAATTTAGCTGCATTTTCAGCACGAATTAATTTGAATTTTTCTTCAACAGTAGTTGTCAAACGATCTTTCAATGAAACGTAATCGTTGTAAACACCAACCAGACGGTTGTGATCTTCCATCTTGGCATCAAATTCAGCTCTGGCAGTGTCAACAATCTTGGATTTCATATCATTGAATTTATTCATATCAGTTTCCTTCAATGATTCCGCCTCTTTTCTCAACAATGGCAATTCTGACTTTCTGTAGGCTCTTTCAGCATGATCCAATTTTTGTAGAGAACTGGTCATACGATCTTCTAATTCAGATTTGTCTTGAGATAACTTGCTGAAAATCAAAGTCTTAATTTCCTTGATATCTAAACCTTGAACTTCTTCAGAAGCAATCTTGGCAGCGTGATCTTTCTTGTTAAATTCATCAATAAACTTTTGGATTTCTCTTTGCTTCAAATCTTCAAATTCACGCTTCTTCTTTTCAACTAAACGACGGTGAGCATCTTGTTCTAACTTAGCTTCCAAAGCTGCCTTTTCTTCCAAAATTTGTCTTTGTCTTATTTCAGCATCTTCTTCAGCTCTAACAGCAGCAGAAGCCATGTATTTCTTCTTTTGTTCTTGAGCCCTCTTTGCACGATCTTCTGCAATTTGTTTCAAGTTTTCAATAGAATCTTTAGTTTGAGTAATCAGAGTTTCACGAGCCAACTTGACCTTTTCTAAGTAAGAAGCATTCTTGAAGGCATCAATTTCTTCCAAAACATTAGATAGTTCAGCCAATCTATTACGGATGAATGTAGTACGAGTAATAACAGGTTCTGGTTCTTTATTTTCTTCGTTTTCATGTTCTTCACCTTCTTCAACGATTTCTTCACCAGTTTCAGCTTCTTCGCCTTCAACTTCTTCACCTTCTTCTTCTTCTTCCTCTTCTTCTTCTTCAACAGTTCCAGCTGCTTTTGAAATAATTTCAAATGGATCTTTGAAGAAAGTAACAGTATTAGAATCATGGTCAATCGAGATAGAAACATAATCTTCGACAGCAGCTTGCAACAAAGTCTTTTCCATATCCCAGTGTGGAAGAGACAAAACACCTGGTAAAGATGCCTTGTCATATAAGGCATCAGTAGGAATGGCATTTTCTGTTTCAGATAAGCTTACGTAGTTCTTTCTCAAAAGAACATTTCTTAATTGGTTAATGTATTGTTTGAAATAAGGTTTAGCTTCCAACTTTGGTAACAAAGCAGCAATCTCAGTTTTAATGGTATCAGCATTATAATTAATTTCCATAATTTCGTACAACTTAATGATGTCTTCATCAATATGCTTGTATATATCTTCTTGCTTAGCCAATTCGATCATTTCATTTCTAGTTGGTCTTGATTCCAAACCTAATAAACGGTATAGACGCATTTGTGGGTCATAACCAACAGTTGGTAAAATGTCCAATGGGGTAGACAAAGCAGATAACAAGATAATAGATGAATATTTCTTAAAATCTTCTTCAGTAGCATTTGGATTGGATTGGTATAATCTATAGAATTTTTCCCAAGTAGCAGTGTGCAATAATTGAGCATTGGAGATCAAGAAGACCTTGGCCAAATTTTCATAGTAGTTAGCCAAAGTAGAAGATTTTGGAGTGTGCTTAGACATTTTCATCAAATGGTAGACGTCTTCGATGGATCTGAAGGCTTCGTGCCATAATTCTAATTTAACAGAGACATTCAATTGTAAGAAACGTTGATCCAAGTAACGTTGCAAAGTTTCGGAATCACTCAAGTCAACGATGTTGGAACCGATTTTACTTTGTTGGTAATTAGCGGCATCTAAATGTTGACGCAACATTTCAGCCAATCTTTTGAATTCATTCTTTCTGTTATATTTCAAACAAAATTGCATGGTTCTGTTAACAACACCAGCATAGGTAATTTCTAACTGAGAGTTATTTCTAACTAAATCCAAAACGGCACGGTAAGATTCCCAAGTGAACTTCAACCAAGAGGTGACAACTTCATCATTAAAACCAGCAACAGATTGATCTTGAATGTAAACAGATTTCAATAAATTTTCTGGAGTGACACCACCTTCTAAGTCATCATCTTCTTCAGTTTGGGATTCCTCAGCTTTCAAATGTTCGAAAGCCATTTTAGTTTCAACACAGTCGATGAATTTACGAGCAACAGCACCTACTGAGGATAGACCATCTTGAGAGCCTTGAACCAATTTTTTATATTGATGTAAGGCATCCTTTATCAATCTTCCTCTTTTCAAATCGACACCAAGTTCTAAGAATTTGAATACAATTGGTTCGACAGTAGAAGGTTGAGCAAAACGGATCTTTCTAGCAGTTAAGTATTCATACAGAGATTGCAAAGCAGCTTGGCTTTCACCAACTGAAATCAATTCATCTGCTCTCTTAATAGCGTTATCTGGACGCAAAACTGGAGGAGCCATAGTTGATGATTATGGGTTATACGGTGTCTTTAAAAATTCAAAAAACAAAGAAAGTAGAATAACTAAACAGAAACAACGTAGAGTTATATTAAAAGTTTTTAAATATATTAGCATTATTGACCTTTATGATAAATATTTAGTATATAATAGTTAAGAAAGTTCAATAGATAGTTAGTTGTTCAATGAACATCGACGAACAAATTGAAAAATTTTCAAGAATTCTAAAGAAGATATTGAAAAAATTTAGAAAGCTACAAGTTACCCTCATAATGTCATGTGATATGAATGTCACATGACATTATGAGGGTAACATATTTTCAGATGGCAACAGATAAACATATTTATATTCACATATAGATGTTCATATAAATCAGGTTAGAAAGATATGTTTAAGATTATATCTACTGTCTACTTTTTGCGTTAGAAGAGAACACTTGAACACAATAGATTACTAATGAGCAGCATTAATTTAGTGGACAAGAAATAAAATATCCATAGTCTCTGCCTTTCTTGTCAGATGCTGTCTTGCTGAGATTTAAACGTGAGACAGTGATACAGTAGTTTAAAGATTCTTTTCACCAGAGGCAAAGCTGTCAATATACACACATATATATAGATATTTAGATATATATGTGTGTTTGTGTTTGTGTTTGTGTAAAGAAACCTCAGAAATAAACCTATACATTAAGAAACTACTGTTTAAATGCTACTATGCAATAACAAAAAAAGCCATTACAATAAATTTCAGTCAAGTACACGATCAAGAAGTAATTATCCATTGATATCCTTTGACCCCCACTTCCCTCTTCTTGTTCTTGTCTTAGTTCTGCTTCAACCTATTCTACTCGGTATTTCTCATCCCATCCTTCCCCCCTACCGTGTCCCATTGAAGAATAATTCGAATTGAGTGTTGAAACTGATGGATATCTCTCTGTACACACACAATCACACAAACCTGCACGGAGAGACATGAATAACTAATTAGTGATTTCTATAAGCCTTCTGATGTTATCCCAACTCTTGCTACAATCACATAACTTGGCCAGCAATACAGAACATACACTGACTGATATAGAAAGAACCCTTCTTTACATTTTCGGAAGACATCGAGGGAGGCACAGAGACTGCCAGCAAAGGCTTAACCTGTAGTAAATGGATAATCTAGAAGGACAAGACAAGAATGGAAAAGTACAAGGTAAAGCAATGGAGTCTATACCTAACTGAATTCATGATGGAGATGGTGACGATGACGGTGACGGTTGATTGATGAACTAGCGGTAATAACGGTATGGAAATGTATAGCATGATATCCTCAAAGACAAGATAACAACTCTAGTTTTGGTTACTTTTCTCGAGGGTGAAACGGGAACAACAAGGGTAAACCAAAAGGAAGAGGGTGATATCAAGGGATGCATAAACTAAAATTGTAGAAGCCCAAAAAAATAACCATGAATGAATGATTAAGAAAACTTTACAATGAATTTATGCTTTTGTAATTCGATGTGGAGCATCAAAATGAAAGATAATTGAATAAATAAATTGTGTCTGGAACTTTGAATATTGTTCACTTTCATCTGAGTGCATTAATCATCAGAGATACAAAACAGACAAACTTGATTTCTGACAAAGCATTATATAGCTAGTTACAAACTTTAATCAAAAGGAAGGAGGGGTTCTTACCTGTTCAAATATATATATATATATTTTTCCTTTACAAGGTTAACAGAAAGGTTTTCATGCAAAAAAGTAGTATATCATTTGTTATATACCTTAGTGTAAGAGTACTATCTTAAATGTGTCAATGGCGAAATTCTGTCAAAGTGAAGTTAGCTTATGCTGAGTTTACCTTGGGGGATTTTAATTTTTGATGTTATTATTAGAGGTTGGTGGTTTTCGATGTAAAATAGTTAATTGAGTTCTATCTTGTTCTTATTGTCCCTTAAATCGACCATCAATCTATCCGACAGTTCCGGATATTTGGCACATTTGAGGTTTAAAATATCATAATGTAATGTAATTGTTTAGGGGACTGTCAGTAGAATAAAGGTAGTGGAGTAATACTTTCTAGTTATATGATTTCATTATACATTTTTAAGTTTTTAATTAGTTTCCATATCCAAGTGATTTGTGTGTATGATAACATAATACCTATGAATCTACAATCTGGTATGCTAGTTTCTCTTGTTAATGTTCATTTTCCCTTTTTCCTTCCTTGTTTTAAGGGATATTTTACTGTATCACACTAACACTTACTTTTAATTAATTAATTAATTAAATATATATATATGACAATATTCTTAATATACCAACATAATAATAATAAAGTTCTTTTACATATTGATCATTTAGTTTTAAGGGATCCATGACCAATAACCCAACTTTTTAATTTATACTACAAAGCATACAGCTAAGTAATTTTATCATATACTTAAACTGTTTTTTATCATTTTAACAAATCAGTGTTTGTCTTCATCCACATTCCTCCCACTCCCCTAAAGACACCCACTCATATCTATATATCGCATTTACATCATGATTTATCTAATAATATCATTACTAGCATTTACTCAATATTCTTTATCTTTTAGCCATTTCATACAGGAACCTTTTCCAATAGAAAAATATTCAATAGATTACATACCTTTAAACCATTGGGAATCTGAAATTTTAGCAAACTCAACAGCTTTAAATCTAGGCAAAATTATTTCATTGGGTAAAGACTCTGACTGTTACATTCCAAACTATTCCTTTGCAGCTTTACAAAAAATAGGCTATTTCCAGAATTACAACATTGAAAAAAAAGATGATGAAAATTTAGATAGTTTTTTAAGGGATAACCTAAATGATGCAATTGAAATTCTAAGAAAGCAATTCTCAAATAATGATCATGAGGGTAGCTCTTGTATTAACTATCCAAATGGCTTCTGGACTTATCAATTTTGTTCAGGCAATTCAATAAATCAAATACATTTTGGTGATATAATTAAAAATGATGAGAAATTGAATTTTACATTAGGGAATACTAATGAGGAATTCGAAAAAAGAGATCACAAATTATTATATGATACTGTCGATGGATATTATATATCCGAAAGCATTTCTAATGGAGATATTTGTGATTTGACAGGTATGCCAAGATCGACGGAAGTACACTACAGTTGTGGACCATCTACTGATAAAGTCAGCATTGAACTAGTTCAAGAACAGAAGACTTGTAATTATATATTGAAGGTATCTGTTAATGAATTATGTTCTTTAGATATATATAAAGAACAAAATCAAGAATTGAGCGATCCTCATTTTAATTCACCAATCTCATCTTCTGCATTAACCAGTAATTCTGGGAATATTAAATCAATGGTTTGTGTTGTAAAACATGAAAAACCAAAATTGGGTATATTGGATGTAATCGAAGATAGCAAACCAATATTTTTAGGATATGGTTTTTATTTTTTGACAGATAAGAATGAAAACAGCAATAATAGATTGATATATACTGGTAGTTCAGAAAATCTACAAAAGAACCTAGGATTTGCTGTCGATTACTTGGTTACTGAGAAATATATTAAAATATCCAATGATGATAATGACGAGTTCACTTGGAATTGTGATATCATCAATATTAAACACGAGTTAATTGATAAAATATCGTTAGTTCTAAATGATGACGCGTTGATTGGTTTCAAAAACCTTGGTCTCAATTAAACTGTTTCGGAATCAACCAATAAGTATTGCATTAGGGCAATCAGGGCCATTGTTCAACAATTATACTTTAAATTTCCTGAAATTCAATGAATAAATTAATTTCCTTTCAAATTCAACATTATTTTTTATTATTATTATTTTGAACTGCATTTTTCTTCAACTGATAATGAACAATCACTTTATTTATTTATTTTTGTTATTTCTGACACAATATTAATAATAATACCTATTACAATTGGATTCATGAATATTTCTTCGGATTATTATCATTTTTGAAATTACGACTTGTAAATACTAATTATTACATTTCAAAATTCCGATACGCTATTATTTAATGTAATTACAGTCATTATGACATCAAATACGTTGAATAGTATGCTACTATCATTTACTGAATATTCTTCCATTTAATTATTTACGTACTGCATTTATTTATTTTTTAATATTCAATTTAATTATTCATATATTCATATTCTATTCATATCATTAATTTTTATCGTAGATGTAATGTTTCAAGTTATTTCGTATATGTGACATATAATTTGAAACATTGTATATTTAATTCGCTATAAAGTTATTATCTGTTAGAAAATATTGAGCAAGTTTCAAATTAGGTATCAAAGTAAAATAATTTTGTTTCAGATTGAGTTTCATTTATTATCTTGCTAGGTTTGTTAAGTTCCTAATTGTAACACTTAGAAACACGGGTATCGTAAGTCTAAAAAAAGGAGGACATTTTTAAAAATATAAAATTAGGACAAATCCTACTGTTATAATAGACTCTTAGGCACCTCAAAATTCAAGTTACTAAATTTATTCACTTGCAATAAAGTTTACAGGGTATTATTATAGTTTATAAGTTTATTAAAAATATGATTGATGTATATGATATCATCAATTTGTTGATAAATATATGTAGCGAAGCCTAATTTCTTTTTGTTTGATCAGGCTTCAAGCTGCAGAACACCAAGAGATCTTGTAAAGACAGAGCATAACTCATCTTCTCTACAATTTGAGTTTCTTGCAGTGAACATATCTTCAAAGTCCAATTATTCTACAAACGTTATAGTCAAGTAAGATACAGGTAAGAATGAAAACAATTAACTTGCAGAGTGTTTTCTTTTTGTATTAATATGAAACAACTTGAATGGCACGGCACATCTTGAAACAACCCTATCAAAAAGAAGGTCAAACAAAATTCATTTGTGAATTGAATTCGATAATAATCGAGATGGAAAATGTTTTAAAACATAAGAAAGATCAGTCAATGCCTTGTAAAAACTTGGGAAGGATGCAAGCAAAAAACATTAGCATATCATCATAGATAAATTTTATCAAAAAGGATGGAATTGGCATGCACCTAACAAACCTTGCAGACTGTTATCTTATACCCTAAAAAGTGTAGTTTTACGATTCAACGATGTTCCAACAATTTTATTAAACATAATACAATCTATTTTGCTCAGTGAAAATATACTAGCAAATATGATCTTGATGTTATGAATTAACAATTAAACTTGCTTAGATTAACATAGAGATCTGTTCTACGTTTAAAGTAATTGATATTTAAGAAAAAAGGACAAACAGGAAAACTACCAAAAAGAAAAAAATAATTTTCAAAAAAACTCAGTTGCTTCTAAAAACATACTGGACAAATAGTGAAAAATATTAAAGGCAACACTTCAACATGAACAGTTGAACCTCAAATCATGGATCAAGAAAGTCAATATTGCTTAATAATAAAGGCAGTAAAAATTGTTCAACAGATGAACGTTAACAATCTTTATATAATAGAGACAAAATTAAAACCTTATTTAGTAACAATGGACTACAAAGAAATTAATGCATAACATAATGTTTCCGGTATAATAACTTCCGAATATATCATCAATTGATAATAAGATTCAGTAAAATTGTCGCTTTAAAACATTAAAAAATTTTGGTTTGTCTAGTTTCAGTTTAGGTGGTATTTTTGAAGTAATGAACAAGAGGTAGTGCAGCAAGAAACAAGCTTACAAGTGTAAGTTGCAACCTCTCCTGTTAGGCTCTAGAAGAGCGAGAGTGGACCACCATTGTATATTTGTAATCGTTTTTATCGCTGCTGTTTTTTGTTAATTTTAGTGTAAAAGTATAAAATTAAAACTAAAAAGTGCAGCAACGAAATCAACCATCATATTTATTCGGAGGTGGCATTTTTTTTTTTATGAGATAAAGTTAGTGCAGTGAAGTGAAGTGCAATGCAGTGAAGTTGCTCCCTACTGGTAATGTGGCATTCCAGACATTTTTTAATCTTGTGTTTGTTCGTAGTTATTATATTTCAAAATTACTATCATTATTATTAGTTTGTATAAGGCAAGCTCAACTCCAGTTACTGGAATGGGATTTTAGTGTTCTTGGATATTTATTTCTTTGGGTATTTTTCGTTGTGATGTTCTTGTAGCGAGATCCATGGGCATGACTACAACTAATCCTTTAGGCAATTAAATATTTCTACAATAATTTCTTCGTTAATTTTCCTTTTGATTATTGAACTAGGACAAATTTAGAATCTGGAAATTGGAAATTTATAAGAACAATTCCTATAATTATTCACTGAAATCGATCGAAGAGATAGTTTATTAAATAAATCTGTACCAATGTTAGTTGGGATTATTTTGATTTAAAGCCACATTGTCTAAGATCCAAATAGGCAATTATTCGTTGAACCAATTGAATTGTTTTAAGTTTCATGACCAATTATTAAGACAGCTATATTTATCCTTAATCAGATAACTTCCCTTTAGTAGTAGTATCCAAAAAAGATTAGCACAAGAAAAAGTAGTGGACGCATCTAAGATATTTTTGGATTTCTTTTTTTTTCTTCCACTCTCAAGACTATTGGTAGTACATACACATATGTGTTAAAATTATGATATTTTTCATGTCAATATGCAACCACCAAATGCAGTACTGTTATTTTAAACAGAGGGAAACAATTACATTTTGAATAAATTTGTCCTTATTTTGGCATTTTCTAAAAAATGTTTGTAGGAAACTATTCAGTAGCTGGTATTGACATGATGCTTATTTTTTTTTTATAAGAAATTTCAGAAAAAAGTGATTCTCCGATTAGATTGAACATAATGTGTTTTGCCAAGAAACAAAATGCAGTACTGGTATAGCATAGATGTTCAGTGGCATAGTTTCGAGTATAGAAAAAAAAAAGATGAAACATATTTTAATAATTTGATTAGAAATAACGAAATAAGTAGTTAAGATATACTCAGGAATTTTTAGTGTGCCATATTAATGGTTAGCTGACATGTTTAATCGGCGAATAAACAAAAAGTAATATTATTCCATTAACGCTCGATTAATTTGAACTTTTAGTTTATTAAATCAGCAATGTAGAGAAAAGGTAGAGAAGAGGTGAATCGATGTATAACTAACGGGATATAAAATTCTATAACTGGAAATTCACTGTTGTGTTCAATCAATTTTATTATCATTTTTATGCTTTATCATTTTTTTCCCGCATTTAAAAAAATTTGTCCTGATAAAAAAGCCTTTAATAATATAATGTACAAATATTTTACTACTTAAATTCTTAGTTGATAAGATGAACATTGTACAATCAATTCCCTTGTCAATAATTAGTAGATTTAAATGTAGAATATGGTCTAAGCAAATTGTAACTTACGCAAGGACCGAGTCCACTCTGTCTAAACATAGTATAGTACACTATCGTTTTTTTCTACACTACGGCAACTAGCATATATGATCTCTTTGTTGCGTAAAGTTTACCAATTTTTTACGACAAATACTATCGAGTAATCCAGAATTTCGTATTTCAAGAATGAATGCCCAGACTTTTGTTGTCTCTACTAAGAATCTTCAGCTGCAAATCAATTCTTTAATTTTTTTCGCTATAAAATTATACTTAATGTACATTTTCTAATAATGGTACAAGTTGATGTAGCAAATTAGAGTTAGTTAGTTAGTTAGTATATATCATTTTCATAATTAATTCTATCAGAAATTTCCTGTTCTGTGGATTAACAGTATTCAAGCCTACTTCCTTTCCTCCATCTCCTGTGATTATTGTTGTTGCTGCTGCCCCTTTCGGATGCTGTTCCGTAGTTGACTTCCGTCTGGTCTGTTTATTTGATTAACCGGATTCGGATTATCATGCTATCGATATAATGATATGTAAATATCTAACGAACTATAATACATTGAAAGAAGTGAAATAAAAGTGTGGTATGGGAAGGTTCTATCAAGATTCTGAGCAATAAAAGAAAATATGTAAATGAGTAGCATGTCTTGCCTTTATCATGATTGCATCATAGTTATGAAAAATTTTAGAATTATTCTTTAATTAAATAAAATGCTGATATAATTTAATTGAATTTTATTTTTAACTCAATCTTAAACAAAGATTGCGCCATTTGGTCCATAAACTAAAGTATACCTTACTATGACAAGTTATGTAATGTAATGCAGTGGCAATTATAATATTCTACTATGAAAAATATCAATGGCTTTCAATCTATTCTCCTTTCCGATTAAGTAGATTTTTCAGATTGCTGTTTGATTTTACTTCAATTTTTTCGCTTTCCAAATCGGGTACTTATCTCGTTCCAATCTTTTTTCGAACATTTTAACAATCTAAGGTAGAGTCGGAATTGCTCTTACTCATTCACATAAAAATCATTAATTTTTCTATTGGTAAATGTAGTAGCAATAAATTATCTATATCTCATATTTTATACTCAGTAAGCGACAGTGAATTAGCCATGATTAAACATTTGAACATTTCTTAAATTGCATACAGCTTGAGAGGTATGTCTTAGATTGTAAAATGTTATAATATTTTTTTATTTTTAGTGACAAATTAGAAATAAGACAAATATTTCAGCCCATCAGATTGGAACATGACTTTTATTGATAAGTTTACACGTAATGATTTGTTCAGATCAAATCAAAAAGATAAGTAGAGCACGACACTACACAATATAGGT